TTTTTTTGGTTTTTCGAGACAGGGTTTCTCTGTGTAGCTTTGCGCCTTTCCTGGAGCTCACTTGGTAGCCCAGGCTGGCCTCGAACTCACAGCGATCCGCCTGCCTCTGCCTCCCGAGTGCTGGGATTAAAGGCGTGCGCCACCAATCAGTATTTTATTTATACAGAGCAATATCCACAGCAGCTAATCGTACTTTTGTTTTTGTTTGTTTGTTTTGAGACAGGGTTTCTCTGTGTAGCTTTGGAGCCTGTCCTGGAACTTACTCTGTAGACCTGGCTGGCCTTGAACTCAATGAGATCTGCCTGCCTCTGCCTCCCAAGTGCTAGGATTAAAGGCATGCACCACCACTGCCTGGCAAGCCTTACGTTATTAAAACATTTTAAATGCTAAAATTCCATAACTTTTGAAGTGTTTGGAGACCATCTATCTAAAATATATTTCTGTATGACCTTGAAAACATACCTAATATGAGTGTAAGTTTGATTGTCATAGATGACTTAACTATTAACCTGTATTCTTTTTAATATTCTAAATAGCCTTTAAAGACTAAAACTTTACATAACCTTTTTAAATGAGCTGCATGGGTATAATACCTTAAGCAAGAGTAGAAACATATAGAGTATAACAAAAATAACCTTAACTTTGTATCAATATGCAAAAATCCATACCAATGTAAAATATTTGAGACTAGTTGGTTAAAATTAGACTTAACAATCCACCCTTTATTTTAACATTTTCATACTATATCTCCTTTTTCAGTTCAGAAAAAAACCCTTGAATCTAACTCCTTTGTTTAGCTTTTTTCCTGACCATGAATAATAACAACTTGGAAACAACCCCCCTAAATGATGACAAACATCTATAACCCACTGAATAGCCAAAAGCCACCCAATCCATCTCTTGGGAATGTGGGCATTGTGTTCTCTAGACTGCCTCCTGTTGTTTGGGGGCGCTGACCCTGGGAAAATTGGGATAATGGTCAAGTCCTGGGAGAGCTAGCTATATTTTTTGTTGTTCAGTCTCTGTGTAATGGGAAAGTACAGGACTTATCTGAAGTCCTGGAGTAATCTGTGAGGCTGGACCATCTCAGCCAGCATCCTTGAAGCTGTTCTGGATACAGAACTCTGAAGAACTGCAACAGTTACTCTGAGATGTTGGATCATCTGGGCCACCTATTTTCATTGGTGTTTGGTCCCCATGCTGTGAAAATACATAAACTTTCAAAGATAACATACATATCTGCATTAACACAAGTATGGAATGTGCAGTGCACACAAGTAGTTAAAAGATGATTTTTTATTTTCCGTATGAGCAGGTAAAAGACATCTGTTAACTTTATAAGTCTGTTTGGACTGTATAATCAAACTGTAATATAGATCTCTATGCATGCCATATGAAAGGATGGCATGTAATAATAAGTCATGAGGACTCTGTAGCCAATAAGATTTATCATGTCTCATCTCAGAGCTGTTCCCATGTCAAGTGATCAGCTTACACATCACTTATCCTGTAGTCTTTTTTGGCTCACTCCCATATGTCTGTAGCCAAGATATTCAGGAGGTTTCCCCAAGTCAAATCTGATCTCTAGTAATCTGGAAGGAATCTACAGCCTTTTGTTTTCTATGGAAACAAAAGCATAACCTCTCCCCCAATGAAACACATTATCTGACTTCCATTTTGAAGTTAAGACATTTTTAAAATATATAGGTTGGTTTAATTTAGCAGTTTCCATAATCCAATGTCTCTCAGAAGCTATTGTTTTTTGTACATTAGCATTTAAAAAATTTAAAGTTAAAAAGACACCATATAGGGTCCAGACTCCCTGTGTATTATTTCATTTTTATGTGGCTTATTTTTTTTAGTACTTTACTCTCTTTAAAGACTATTATTTTTAAGCAATTTGTTTTTTCTATGACTGTCTATACCCATTTTTTTCTTAAGCCCACATATATTGTTAAACACACTGTAACCTGTTTCGATTTTTTTTCTGTCTGAATCTCCTTTACTGCATATCTGAAACCTTTTCTGTAAACTTGCCATGAGACTTATTTCAGGGTGCACTGGTGACTCAAGCATGTAATGTGTCTCTATACTGAGGCTGGCGTGAGAGACAAGAGACTAGGAAGCTGCATTGGGCTCCATTTTTCTGTGTTTAGAACTTTTTTTTAAGGCTTTCTCAGGTCTTATGTGGATATATGTGGCTGGATGTTGGGCACCATTGGTAGTGAGTCTTTCTCTGTAGTGCCAGCCAGCTCTCAAATAACCACACAGAGCCTTCTTAATTATGAAAGCCTGGCTGGTAGCTTAGGCTTGTTTCTAACTAGCTCCTGTAACTTAAGTTGAACCTATTTCTATTAATTTACTTTCTGCTTCATGGCTTTATTACCTCATCTTCATAGTGCCCATCCTGCTCACTCTGCATCTCCTGGCATCTCCACCCTTTTTCTTCCCAGTGCCCTCTCTGTCCCCAAAATCCTCCCTAGCTATTGGCTATTCAGCTTTTTTTCTTTTTTAAAGATTTATTTATTATGTATACAGAAGAGGGCACTAGATCTCATTACAGATGGTTGTGAGCCACCATATGGTTGCTGGGAATTGAACTCTTAACCTCTGAGCCATCTCTCCAGCCCCTCAGCTTTTTATTAAACCAATCCAAGTGACATATTCACAGGGTACAAGAAGACTTCTCCATGACAGGCTGAGGCAGGCAGATCTCTGTGACTTTGAAGCCATTCTCATCTATAGAGTGAGTTCCAGGACAACCAGAGCTTCATAGTAAGACTGTCTCAGAAAAACAAAAACAATCAAAATTTACTTTGGATTTGGGAGATAATGTCTCACTCTGTATTCCAGCTGACCTGACGTTCACTAGGTGGCCCAGGCTGGCCTCAACATCGCCGTACTTCTCATGCCTCAACCTCCCAAGGACTGGGGTTAAAGGTGTGTTATGCCCAGTAGGAATCAGTTTATTTATTTAAAAAAGTTTGATTTTATGTGCATTGCTGTTTTGTCTGCATGCATGTCTGTGTGAGGGTGTCAGAGTCCCTGGAACTGAAGCCAAATTCTCAGAACCTAGTAGACAGTAGTGAGCCGCCAAATGGGCACAATTTAACCCGGGTCCTCTGGAAGAGCAGCCAGTGCTCTTAACCACTGAGCCATCTCTCCAGCCCCATGGGACCAGTTTATTTTTAAAAGATACAAAACATCATTAGCCCTTGATAATATTTCTATATAAAAGAAATGCATTCTCCAATTTGAACCTTTACAACAAATATTGTGCTGGAATTCTCTTGTGTGTGTTCATGTGGGTGCACAAACACATGTATGTGTGTAGAGGCTAGAGGTCCATGTCATGTGTCTTCCACAGATTCAGATAGACTGGCCACTGAGCCCAAGAAATCCTCCTGTATTTGCCTCCTCAATGCTGGGATTATAGATACTTATCCATGGGTTTTTTATTTACATGGGTGCTGGGGATCCAAACTCAGGTCCTCATTGTTACACGGCAGATACTTTACACTGAGCCATCTCCCAGTTTGGAGCTCTTTTGTTAAAACAAACAAACAAACAAACAAAAAAGATTTATTTGTGTGCATCATTGGGTAGGTGCATAGAGTGCAGGTGCCTAGCCAGATCCTCTGGAGCTGGAGTTACTAGCTGTGAGCAGCCTGACCTGGGTGCTGGAAACCAAACTGAGGTACTCTGCAAGAGCAGTGTTCAGTGACCTCTCCAGTCCTAACCTGAATTTCCTGAGTCTCAGCTGTTGACACATTTCAGTCATACTCCCGAGCAAGGGGCTTCTTCTCCTTCCCAGGTCCCCATAATGTTCCCTTTCTATCTTGACTGACCACTCCTCTGTGTCCCCTGTCCTCACTGTCAAAGAAGAGGTGCTTTCAAATTATACAATTCTATGACCAGTGATCAAACAATGAACAATAATGTACTCATGCAAGCAAATTCAGACACTTTCCTGTAGCCAAATTCTCAGAACCTAGAAGTTATCTCGTTGATTAGAGAAATCAGACAATTCAAAGGAAATGTCACACAACAAAGATCAGCTAAGGTATTTTCTAAACATGACAGAAAAACAAAATATAAAGAGTTTGAGGTTACATTTACTTATTTCTTTAGTATGTGTGGAGGGGTATGTGTCAGAAGACGGCTTGTGGGAACTGGTTCTCTTTTAATAAATGGGTTCCCAGGGATTGAACTCAGGCTGTTATACTTGCTGGCAAGTGCCTTTACACTGACTGGCCTTGAATCTTTTTATTTGGAGACAGGATCTGGTTGTAGCCTTGGCTGCTGGCTTCCAACCCCTTATGTAAGAGGATGACCTTGAACTCCTTATCCTCCAGCTTTCATCTTCCAAGGGCTTTATATTACAGGCCTGTGTGGCCACACCCAAGTGATGAACATATTTGTAACACATGGACTTCTAGTTCCCAAGAATGAAAGACATGTCTGAATAATTAGAAGGTATAATCAAAGCCGGGCGGTGGTGGCGCACGCCTGTAATCCCAGCACTTGGGAGGCAGAGGCAGGCGGATCTCTGTGAGTTCGAGGCCAGTCTGGGCTACAGAGTGAGTTCCAGGAAAGGCACAAAGCTACACAGAGAAACCCTGTCTCGGAAAACCAAGAAAAAAAAAAAAAAAAAAAAAAAAAAAAGGTATAATCAAAAGCCTCAATTTTAAAAATACTATTTCAGCAAGATCACAAAATTATGAATTTGCAAAATCTGAAAATGCTTACATGGTATAATTATGTATATGTAAGCTTTCCCCCCTTTATTTAAACCATATGCATTTTGTTAGAATTTCTAGCGGCCAGAATCTAGCCCAAACATTCTATTTGTTTTTGTTTTTTCAAGACAGGTTTCTCTGTTACAGCTCTGGTTGTCCTGGAACTCACTCTGTAGACCAGGCTGGCCTTGAACTCACAGAGATCCGCTTGTCTCTGCCTCATGAGTACTGGGATTAAAGGTGTGCGCCACCACCACCTAGCTCAAACTTTCTATTTGAAGGTGAGAGAAAATGGGAACTACTTGGCTCTTAAAACGTTTAACTAAGCCAGTCTCAAAAACCAACGAGAGCCAGGGATTCGGCCTACTAAGAGATCATTTGTCCTGCACCTGCAAGGCCCAGATCCTCAAAAAGCAGAACACACTAGACACATGCACAGAGAAAACCCGGCAAGGTGCCCACACTTGTAATCCCAGCACTGGAGAGGCAGATGCCATTGTGAGGCCAGTCTGGGCTGTGTAGTCAGACACAACAAACAATCTCTTAGAACACTTTCTTCTCTGTAATCCTAGGGACCCACTGGAGTAATCCTCATGTAATGATTAAAAAAAAAAAAAAAAAACAAAAAACTTAAAATTTCTGATTGTGACACGTGGTGGCCTTTCTACTATGAGCCCTGGAACAGTGTGGAAAATTTCCTCCTCCAGGCCAAATGTTTTTGCTACCACTACAAACGTGTAGAGCATTTTAAAGGTAAGGCCTTCGTTGGTATCCTTATGGAAAATCGAAAGATGAATACGAAACCAAGCTAGTTCTTAAGCGGTTCCTGGCTAAGGAAAAGCTGTCCTACACCCTTTCTTTTCCTACTTAGCTGGCTTAATGGAACTCTTTAAAACAAAAGCCAAAACAACCCTAGGACGAGGAACTCCGTGAAATCTGCATTTCTGAGAGGTTTCTGGGGGGAGGGGCAGAAATTCATCCCTGACTCTGGCTTCCCTTGCAGACTAGAAGTTAAATCGCTGTTGACAACAGGAATTGGCCTGCAGATGGAGAATTTGGGACCACGACTCTAAAGACTGTTTCCAGTTTCCTCGCTCAATGAGATGCCACGGTGGAGCTAGGCCCTTCAAAATGGCAGCTGTGGTCAAGTTCCAAAAAGGTCTGACATCTTTTTAACACACTAGCAAAATATGGGGCTGTATCCCGGCAGAACTGAAAGAGAAAAGTCCGAGGGCTCAGCTGGCCACGTGCTGCTACACTTCGTGTTACATCGGACCGTGTTAAGTCGGCACCCGGGCTATGCACAGCAAGAGTTAGCGCAGCTCCAGGGTCCCGGGGTGAGATGCCGAAGGAGCAAACCAACATGGTAAATCGCGTCTCCAGGTGGTTTTTACCGACTCCAAGATGCCTTCATTGCTCTGCTCCGATAGGTGGAAAAAACAGCGATGGTCTGAACTTCTAAGTTCTTAGGTCCACTCGGCCTTGTGTCCACAGAGCTGCGGACCATTTCAGCAGGCTACACTCCCCTAGTAGGCGGCCATGACAAGGCTCCCTTGGCGCGAATTACAAGGAAACCCACGAAACACTTAAAAAAGAAAATTCCATCCCAAAGACCCGGAGTGGAGTTACTAGGGAAGGGCTGTACAGGAACTTGGGGACTCACTCGAGGAACTGGGGACTGGGGCGTCGCACCTGGACACAGGAGACAAAAGTTAGGGGGGTCCCACCCAGGGGTCGCCAGCACGCTTTCTGCCCGATTGGCGGAAGCGCTCAGACTTTTCTTTATGGCGTCACCGAGTACCTGCCTGTAGGAAGGCCTCAGCTGCGTGACGTCACGCCGCACTGACCAATGAACGGCCCGAGCCGGCGGGCCCCGAGGAGGGTTGTGGGCCCTTCTTTTTGTGAATGAAGCTCCACGGAACATCCCTCCTGGGGGTCCCCGGGAGCCGCGGCCCGCTAAGCTCGGACGCCCAGGCAGCAGCGTCCCAGGGCGCGCGCGCTTTGCCCCAGCCGCCGGCCAGCGCTGTGTGGCCCCCGGGGCGCGGGCAGCGGGAAACGCAGCTCGAGGACTCGGGCCGGGCTGCCGGGCCATGGTCGCGGTCCCCTGACGGGCCGCGGCCGCCTCCATGAAGCGCAAGAGCGAGCGGCGCTCGGCTTGGGCTACCGCGCCCCCCTGCTCGCGCCGCAGCTCGTCCGCCTCTCCTGGCGTGAAGAAGAGCCGCAGCTCCACGCCGCAGGAGCTGCACCGCCTAGAGCAGCAGGACGACCTGTACCTGGACATCACGGGTGAGCCCCCGCCACACCCCCACGAGGCTCGCGGCTCCTCGCGCCTCCCGCCGCCCGCGCGCCAGCGGCTGCAACTTTACCCGCGATGGGCCGAGGGGTCACCTCTGTAAATGCACCCGGCCTCCGGAGGCGGCGGAGGGCTCTGCCCTCGAACCCACCTCATTCCGGGATAGCTGGCGCGGTTGTTCTCACGCCCATCCAAGCCTCTGCTGAGCTCCGAGGGCGCTGGTTTTGGCTGGCCCGAGGGCCCAAGCCCCGCTGCGCCTTAGTCACGCGTGGGATCCCTCCTGAGCTTGCCCCCCTCTTCCCCACGCCCTCCTCAGGCCTCCTCAGGGATCCTTTGCCCTCCCTCGCGCCTCCAGAAAAGTGTCACGGTGATGGCGTTTGAACCACCTAGCATTCTAAGAGCCCAGAGGTGTCACTTTTGAGAAATCCCCGCCAGCCCGAGCAGGTAGAAAAGCAGCTTTCGAGGGTGATTTTTCTTAGTGCTTCAGTTCTTGAAGACCAAAGAAATTAATTTGGCAGCTGCTGGGTTTGCCGGGATTGGTGTCGAAGCCAGAGCTTGCCTTCGGTGTGCTGCTGTACATGGAAACGTATTGTCAGCTGCATAGCTGTCTGCGCGGTTGACGGATTGTGCCGCGTTTTCTGGGGCGGACTGTGTCCACCTCTGCGTGGGGTTTTAAGAAACGGTTTCCAGGCCCTGGACTTGGACTTTCCTAGGTGGGCTCGATTGGTGACAACATTTATTGATTTAGGAAGTGTTTAGACAAACATAGAAATTTAGTATAAAGTGTATTTCTAGATTGATGGGCATTTAGAAAATAAAACCGATTTTAAAGGAAGCTGAGAGGAGGGGGAAGGTTTCTTAGTGTTTGAAGGAGGAAGAGGAAGGAGTTTCTTTAAGTACAGCCCCTGGCTGGCTTCTTCCCAGATCTACGGGTGACCCTGCAGGAGGATATGCCAGCTTGCCCACGTTCCTTCCAAAGAGACTTTGTGCTGGTGGGATCTGCACATTCCTTCTGCTCTCTCTTACACGTCTTAAAATGATTTTTGGTTAGGGCTGTTTAATATGGGGAAAAGTTAATCCTTGTATAGCGCTGAATTGTAGAAGTACACAGGAGTATATTGAGAAAAGTTGGTGGCAAAGACACAGGAGCGTCCTCTAAGTGTAACTGATGTTGCCAGTTTCTCGTGAATCTTTCCAGAAATATCCTGGACCGGCACACATATGTCTGTTCTTTGCAAATCCATGCAGGATGGCTCACAGTTGATTTTTGCATTGCTTTGCACAGTACTTCAAAGCAGAGTGCTAGCCTCCAATTGGTGTGTTCAAAACCTCATTTGATTTTAATTACTACCTAGGCCAAAGGATGTGTGGCTTTAAAGGATAGAACCATAAAAAAGGTTTATGGAATTTAAACACACTTATAGATTTAAATGTTTTATGAATTTAGACAGTTCTCTGTTGAATATTTAGGTGGCCTTTAATAAAAGTGGTAAGGCTGGGTATGGTGGCACATGCCTTGAACCCTAGTAGCACTCTGTAAGCAGAGTCAGGTGGATCTTTGTGAGTTCAAGGTCAGCCTCATCTATATAGTGAGTTCCAGGACAGCCAGGTATATGTAGAGAGATCATCCTGTCTCAAAAAAAAAAAAAAAAAAGTTATAAGATTTAGGTAGTTGTTTTCATAAGAAAAATTGTTGGTGGCCTCGAAGCTGGTATTCAGGGCCATGTGCATGCCAGGCCAGGTCTCCAACACTGAGCTACAACCCACCAAAAGATTTTTGACAACAGTAATTGGAGGAAATTTTTCTCATTTTTTGGGGATAAAGTGTAACTTGGCAAGCCTTCCAGAGGAAGCCATCAAAAAATTAACCTTAGAAGATGTCAACAATTCTGAGAGAGCTGGTGCAAATATGCACAAAATCAAAATACTGTCCAGTTACAAGCTCTGGAAGTGGGTTGGTCCAGCCACAGTGTAAGATACTAACTAGCTCTAGGGGAACAAGGCTTGCAGCCCTTCAGTGATAGCCTCAGCTTCCTGAAAGAAAAGAGAAAAGAAAAAAAAAAAAAACAATAAAACAGTCTGTTTCTGTGTTATCTGCAAGACAGTTGAAGTACTAAAAAATTTTAATCTAAATTATTTAATTTTGTGTGTATGTGTGTGTGCCTTAATGTATATATGTACACCACAGGGTGCAGTGCCTGAAGAGGGGGCTGGTGGCCCAGGTGGTGGGTGCTGGGAATTGAATCTGTAGAGCCGTTTCTTCAGCACCCTCTCATAGGGTCTCATATAGTCTAGGTTAGCCTGCAACTCGGCAAGCAACCCACACCAGCCTCAAACTCGATAGCCTACTTACTGTCTTAGCCTCCTCAGTGCCGAGGTTATAGGCATCAGCTATGCTGTGCTGATCTTAAAATTGTAGATAGAGTTCAGGCCAGGTGGTTGTGGCAAACACCTTTAATCCCAGCACTCAGGAATCAGAGGCAAGCAGATCTCGTGAGTTCCAGGACAGCCAAAGCTACACAGAGAAGCATTGTTTCAAACAAACAAACAAACAAAAAAAAAAAAAAAAAAAAAGCAGAACCAAAAAAAAAAAATTGGAGCGTTCAGATTACTTTTAATTTTATTTCTTCTTTTGTGTGAGGTGGTGATGGAAGGGGGGAGGGAGGAAGGTATAAGGCTTTGTGCTTAGCAGATGGCAGCTGATCCTTTCATTCCCAAATTGTTTTCCCCTCAGTCATTGTTTTGTTATAATTTGCTTTTTGAGATAGGGTCTCACTCTGTAGCAGGCTGGTCTGGGGCTCTGTAGATAAGGGTGGCCTTGAACTCACAGAGATCTTTCTGCCTCTACTTCCCCAAGTGCTAGGATTAAAGGGATGTGCCACCATACCCGATACCTGATAGTTTTCTTAATTGTTTTAAAGAAAATCAAACATTATCACAGAAAGTTTGGTCCTGTTTTTTATTCTTCACTTTTCTTTTAAAATTTTCTTTTTTACTTTATTTGTGTTGGGAGAAGGGGGGGAGGAGAGGGAGGTGGGTTTAATTGATTTCATTCTTAACAGGGCCATGTGCACGAAGTCAGGACAGCTTGTGGGAGTTGGTTCACGTCTTCCACCATGTGGGTTTCCAAAATGGAACTCAGGTCATCAGTCTTGGCTGCAGGTTCTCTTTGCAGCTGAGCCATCAGGATGCTCTCTTTTTAACTGCCCAGTGCTGTTGTGTTGTATGGCTGAATCATGATTTCTTTAGCAATAGGAAGTGGGAGTTTGAGAACGTGTTAGTTTCTATTGCAAATGGCAGCAGAATCCATGTGGATGGAGTCTGTGTACATGTGTGACTGCATTTATAGAGTGAGTTCTGGAAGTAAAAATGTTGGGCCAGCATTATACAGCTTCAGTGGACTATCCACATTCATGTGCAGGACATGCTTTCAGCTCCTTTGGATACATAGCTGGAAGTATACTTTTTGGGTTGTGTGGTACTTTTTGGGTTGTGTGGTAGCTTCATATTTTTACCTCTCAGGCAGCTGCCACACTCTTGAAAAGTGGTTTGGCTGTCAGCTTTTTACCCTTGAAGTGCCACTCTTTTCTGTATCTTTACCAATACCTGTTACTGAACAGGAAGACTTGTAGCAGACTTGGTTTGGAAAAATTAAGGCTGTTGTCTGTTTGCCTGCTCTGCCCCTAAAGCTTTTTTCTTAGCCTGTTTGCCTCAAGCTTGCTGTGTGCTGAGGATGACCTTGAACATCTGAGCCTTCTGCTCCCATCTGAGTTCTGGGATTACAGGAATCACTACCTGGTTTTATGTGGTACTGGGATAAACACAGGGTTTTATGCATCCTAGGCAGGCACTGAGCTACATTTCTAGACCCCAAACTTTTTACCCCCAAAGACCATACGCGCGCACGTGTACACACACACACACACACACACACACACACACACACACACACACACTTTTTTTTTTTTTTTTGACACAGGTTTTCTCTGTGTAGCCCTGGCTGGCCTTGTAGACCAGGCTGGCCTCGAATTTACAGAGGTTTGCCTGCCTCTGTTTTTCAAGTGCTGGGATTAAAGGTGTGTGCCACCACTGCAGGGCGACCCTTGATACTTTTATAGCAGCCTATTCAATCTGTAAATTGAATTCCTGCCAGGGTGTTTCATTGTGTGCTGTTCATACTGGGTGTTTGTGTGATCACTCTTGTTTGGTCTAGAGGCTGGTTAGCCTCACTGTTGTGCTGGGGGGTTTACTCTTAACCAGGAGCCAACCAACTCAATAGTGGCTTAATTCTCACCCCAACCCAATCAGTATGTTTTGTTGTTATTGATTTTTTTTTTAAACTTGAACTGTATTTCTGGTGTACTATGAAAACCAAATCTCCTAAAGACAGGTGAACTGTGTAGCTGATACCCTGAGATACTAAAGCTCCTGTGGAACGAAACAGGGAGGAAAGAGGACTTGAGTTTCCAGTGGGTTGAAAACTGTAAGACTCAAAATTGGGGAAATACATGAGAAAAAAATGATTGGATGAAGGCAGGAATTTTATTTTTCTATGAACCTCCTTGGTACCAGAGTTCCAAAGCTTTTTTCAACTATCAAATCATTAAATATTGCCTTCCATTAAATGACCATGCAAAGCTTCCTTTTTTGCTAATAACAAGGACAGTCTCCCCTGCCCCAAAATGATTGTTTTGTGTTGGGATGGGTGGTGATGACAGTCTCACTGTACAAGCCTTGAGCTCCATATGTAGACCAGCCTTGAACTCCTAGAGATTTGCCTGTCTCTGAGAGCTGGGAGTAAAGGTGTGTGCCTGCGCCACCGCTGCTGCCACCACCTAGCTGACGGGAGACTTTTAAGCATTCCAATACAGCTGCAAAATAGGATCATTTTCAGGATCTAATAGTTGATGCAGACCTTTAACTTATTTCACTATTTTATCTTTTAAGTTTCTAATTATTGAAGAAAATTAGTAATAGTTGCTATTGACAGAAA